CTCAGCTGACAACACTCGGGCACTTGTTTCCTGCCACTCCTCCAGAGTGATTTTAAACACCCCAGTGGAGCTCCCTGCTAGTCCTAATTTCTGCCTGGCTTTGTTGCCATCTAATGACTCAACTGAACTGGGGGTCAGGCTCTGCTCCCAAGGAACAAGGGACAGGACAAGAGGAAACAGCCTCAAGTTGCCCCAGGGGAGGTTGAGGTTGGCCCTGAGGAACAATTTGTTGCCCTGGAGGGTTGCCCAGGGCTGTGCCAGGCTGCCCAGGGCAGTGGTGGAGTCCCCACCCCTGGAGGGGTTTCCAAGCCGTGGAGATGTGGTGTGAGGGACACGGGGCAGTGGGGACCTGGCAGTGCTGGGGAAGTGTTGGACACCAGGATCTGAGAGGTCTCTTCCAACCCAAAGGATTCTGTGACTTACAATCATTGACCTTCACCCACCCAGTGTTTTAACACAGCTCTATGCTACAGAACACCACAACGTTTCCCATCACTGAAGCACCAGTTCAGCTACTAGGGCACCTCCCCACACTGAATCCTCCTCCTCGCCTGTGCAGTTACTGCTCCCTGACAATGTAGAAACCCCAGTTACCCTCCATCCAGAAATCCCAAACTCTGCCACAGAGTTAAGTTACTTCCACAGTCTGGGATCACACAGATGCTGCACAGACACCCACCCACATCTTACCTTTTCTTGTTTCTGCTTTTCACTGCATAGTACTGTCAAAGTGTTTGTGATCTTTTTCAAATCATCAACTTCCACTGATTAGAGGGAAAAGAAAGAAAAGAAGAAGATTCCTCATCATTTTGGTTTTTAGCAGATGGTTAAATAATCAAACATCAGCATTCTCTCAGAACCAGAAAGTGGCAGTGAGAGGTACAGACAATGGCTTCATTTAAATCAGCAAGATGCAGCCTGGGTCACTCTGGTCCCTGCAGCCAGTCACTGCCTCAGCTGGGCCTCAGGAAGCAGCACGAGTGTTGCAGAAGGAAAAACTTGCAAACTAAGACTTGGTGAACACAAAACTTAATGAGGAGCCATCTGAACAGTAAAATATGGATGCAGTAAAACCCACTGACCCTAACAAGGAGCAGTGGATTAACAATAAATGGCTATTAACAACAAACAGCCCCAGAGGCTGCGCGTCCTTCGCCCCTCGCTTCCCAGGGTCTGGGGTCCCTCTGCCACGTGAGCCCCT